TGGACATATCATAATTCTGGTTTTTTAATAAGACTCACAGGGACAAGAACTACAATTATTTTATGTTTTAATTTATTTAATACCATAGGTATTACAAAGATGTAAATATTGTTTTTTTGTAGAATAATTATTTAAAATCTCATCAATAAATTTTCAAGAAGTAAAATAATATGCTATTGTGAGCCCCACTGAAAGCGTTCGCGGGCCACTTATTTGATACCACTATTAATTATAATGCTAATATGGTATTAAATAATTCACTGTTTTTCTAGAAACTAGAAATCAAAATGTTGAAACTTCAATATTTTCACAAAAATTAACTCTACAAAATGGCTATCTTCGATTTTTTAAAAATAATTAAATAAAAAAAAATATTTTTTAACTTTTTTGATTATGATATTTTTTCAATAGATATCGCAATGGGTAAATACTCACGGGACACTCTGTATAATATATAGTGTATATTATATTTTAATATATATATTTAATTTTCAAATTCCTTAATGAAGATGATATTTTTGGCTTTTGCTATAATTTAGTAATTTACTATTTAGTTTTAGTCTAATGATAATATGGTATATATCAAAATGTATAGATAAATATAAAAAGTTTCATACTATAAATTATTCATCATAAATTGAAAGGTAATTAAAAAAAAAAAAATCTAATTTATTATTATAGGAATTCATTTTGGATGGTTTTTCAAATATAGTGACTAATAAATATATACGAAATTACTATAGATACTTATAATTTGAACTTTGATTTGGAACATTACATAAAAACAAACGTTTTTTGGTATGATAATAGGTTATATGTATATCTATAAACTTTATACTTAACAGCCGTAAGTCATAACATAAGAAAGAGGTACCTAAAGTAGGTACCTAATTATAATATTACATTTTTATAGCATTATTATTTTAACTAGGTATATAGGTAAAATAATTGTATTTATTATTGACTATTGTATTACATTTTATTATTTTATAGACTTCTATTAAATTAAATTTTATTATATTTTAATATGTTATTTAAGTAAGTACTTAACATTTCTTATGATATTATATGATTTTTTATGTAACTTTAATGTATTTTTCAATACACTTTTAACATATAATTATACTTCAATTTTGATATATTTTCATTAATTTTTATCGGGACTTTTTTTTCTGTGATTCAGCCATATGACATTGGTGATTGTACTGTAGTGTTTTATAACCATGGTTAAAGCACATTATAGGTTTAATCTATTCTGGGGTTAAGGTATTTTATATGAACTCTGATGTAAACAAATTCGAGAAATTATCCTATACCATACATCACGGTTATGGTATAATTGTGGTAGGGTTGAAAGCATTTTATTACAGGAGGGTGGTAGGTAATATGATGTACGGACAATTGGGGTACTAAAACTTCTGCTGCCCTGGGGCCCAAAGATCTTAGTTGTGGCACTGTGAGTACCTATCTATTTGGAAAATGCCATTATAGCGCTCTCACAGTCACACTAGTTTCAATTCTATTTCCATTCGTAATATTTTCTAGTTGGTATTAGGTACCTACTTATTGAAATTTTTATACTCGTATACAAAATTATATTTTTTATAATTTCTCGTACTATTTAGCTGAATGATTATTAAATTTCGTGCTTATCTATTAATATGTTGTACACTATTCATTTACTATTTTATTAAACTCTCATAAATATCGAATAAAAATTATTGTTGAGCCCTGAACCCACGGAAAAACAAAAAAATTAATTTGAGGTCAAAACATAGGTAAACAAGTACGCTATAAAGGACAAGGTCAAAGTGGACGCGTCGCGGTCGTTGTGAATAATTATAATAATGGAAGTGGATTTTGGACGCATTGCCGCATTATTATGGTGTTCTCATTATGGTTGAAACACGATTTCGGAACCTTTGTCTTACAATCACTTTAACTCATAAACAAAAAATATTATTTTGTACCCAAAAAATTACACTACTCTTTACGAATTTAAAGAAAAATTACCATGGTGAGCGACGCCCATCGATTATAAATTGTATAATGAATTTATATAGGATACAATAAAAAGGTAAGGTGTGTTCTAAACTGAGAGGTATTTACAGAAATTATTTGTAAAATTGTACATATTATAATCCGTTCAGATATATACATTATAATAATATAATAGTTAGGTACCTATTATATAAATAACATTATAATATCATTATTATACCACATTATCGAAGTATTATTTATACATTTGGCAACATATTTTGTCCGAAATTATGTCGTTTCGAGCGGTGATAAACTCTCCGGAATGTATGGTGAAGTCTCCCGATTTTTAATACTATTAAGCTACCCTGATGGTAAAGTCTATCGGGTCAACATTATTTTTATCTGAAGAAAATGTGTTCTGCAGAGTTATATTAAATGTTATTACCTACTACACAATGAATTGGCTATAATTCTTTAGTAGGTACTCATCCATCTGTGTTTATCTTTATATATTATTAAAACGTGAGGCGATTTCTTATGACAGTTATAATATCTGAAGTTCTACTGGACCGATTTTCGTGATGACTTTTCTAAAGAGTAAAGTCCAAAAAATTAATTATTTAAATAGTTATTAGAAGTATTATGTTAGCCGTATTGATACATAGCGGCATTCGTTGACAACACGACGGTATAACCCCCACTACTCCTACGTCTACTGCAGTGCTGTAGCATAGTCTTCGTCGTCCGTTATCGTCGTCGTCGTCGTCGTCGTTGAATAAAAACCCAACTATTTTCGTCATTTCGCGTACAGCAGAGTCCGCTGAACTCATTAAAATTATTATTATTAATATACATATCTGTGCAGGATAAACAACTCTGGAACTTCTTATCGAATCTTCTTGTTGTTTTTTTTTAAACGTAAGAGTATTTCACGGAGAAGGTTTATATGAAAGAACATTTTAGGAAAATCCACCGGTTTATAATATATTTGTTGATCGGGCATGTTTGTTGATTTGTATTAAGTATTATCTTTTGCCAATATACATATTTTATAAAATATATACAAGACGGTCTGATAAGTAGTTCCAGAGTCTGTGTATTTATATAGTTAGATATATATTATATAAATTAATGTTTGTGGTAGATTAGACCTCTGGGAAGAAGATGAGTTAATTTACAAAGGGTTAAATTTGTTTTTTTTTCATTGGATTTTAGTACGGTTTGGCTAGGATAGGGTTTTGTATAAACTGATTATATTAATCCACCGTAGGCAGTGGCGTATTTTGAAATTTTTTCTGGGGGGGGTATAAATATTAGGTACCTACAAGTTTATAATATAAAAAAAACACATACGAGTTACGATGTAATAATTATATTATATTATATTTTTTTCTGGGGGGGGGGGTCCAGACCCGGGGACCCCCCCCGTAAATACGCCACTGACCGTAGGTGGAATTAAGGTCCCCACACACTGCAGCGGTGGCGGTGAATTGCTGTAGGACACATTTCACCGCTCACCGCGGCGGTGAAGCCAAGACAATAGAATTTAACGTGACCGCCACCGCCACCGCTGCAGTGTGTGGGGACCTTTAAGTAAATAAAAACGACAAACTTGGTATAACTTTGATACTTTAGAGTTAAATCATACACTTATGTACAAACTGCACGGGGTCCGCAATCTACCACAGGTAAATTTCCTACTTGATAATGTACTAATGCGAAGCAGAATTTTTATTCGGGGCAACGGAAAAGTTAAGTTTAATTTGGAAAACCACACACCGAATATTAAATAACGAATTGAACAAAGTTTGAGTCATATAGAGTTGAATGTTGATCGGGCAACGAAGTGCACGGGATCAGCTAGTATTTATAAATGACCTAACAGATTTTCAAACTGAAGTATACATAAAAATTCGAAGTTACAACGAATAAAATAAAATAAGTAAAGATACTCATCCGAAAAATAAAGAAAACAATTATAGACTAAAAACTATCAAATAAATAACTTTTTTGAAATCTGAGTGTTTATGGGTAGGTACTATCATAAATAATAAATTTAAATGTTTAGTATTTTAATTATACATAATATTATTGCTCACAGCAGGTAAATAAATATTTTATTTAATATTATTATTATTATTTATTAATATTTGTATTATATATTATTTACATTATTAAAATAAAAAGTAGGTAGGTAAAAATGCGTAGGTATGCGTCTTTATAAAAAATTGTATTTTTCATATTTTTCTTATTTACCGATTAAAATCTGGTATATATTATTCAATTATTACTTTATTACACTCGCTTACCTACGTTATAAATAAATTAATATTTACAAAATTGAATATATTTTTAATCAGTTGATTTACATTTTGAGATGGGTACCTACACCTATTTAGAAGCATATAGTTAAAGGCGATATTTTAAAATGTGTCTTTAGGTAGCTGAATATATATATATATGCCTAACACTGCACTGAATCGGAAGAGGGAAGAGAGAATACAAAATATAATATATATAACGTCGTACGAAAACCCGTGTAGGTTTTAAATAGTGAAAGAAAAAGTCAAGAAGGATCAACACCCCACCCCCGTCCTCGCACCTTTTGTGCTCTACATCAGGTAAAAAATTATGTAAACATGTATGGTATAACGGGCGAGGTCCAACCAGATGCGACGTTGCAAATTGTGATAATGGTAGTCTTTTGGACGTATGTATTGTCGTCCGATATGTGGGGGTTCTCAATATCCAATAGATTAAATTCCGATAGACCTCGCACGGCTATAAAATATATCGCTGACCGTCGGGACATTTATAATATTGTCAGTCGGTCTGTAGTCCCCGTTACCTTCAGACGTGTTCGTTTCATTAGCTCTCCGACCGTTAGGTACGACTGTATTGTGTAACACTGTGCTGCAGGTAAGGCGATTTTTTTGTACTCGTAATTTTAATTTTTATAATTAATAATCTTACATTTTTATTAACAATTTTTAATCTTTTGTTGAACAGACCGAAATATGGAGAACGAGACGGATGAGAAAAAAATGGAGAACAGCAACGGCAATGTGCGTAAGGGTAAATCGGTGACATTCAATCAGGATACACAAGTATTCGTATTTGATTCGGAGCCCAACGATTTTGGAGAATCAAATGCTAGGCAAACGGCACAGGGCTGCGTCCGGGAACGGGTCAAGAGGTACAACCAGAATGTGGCGTGGCGCTCGATCCCGCTCCGTTCCAGGCCGCCCGCACTGCCGCCGAGGAACCCTGTACAGGTCAACGTTGCCGGGCCGACACCTTTACCACCGAAGCCTCCACCAAGAGCCAAAAACGAACCGTCTGTCGTCGCTAACGTCCGACCAAAAGTGCGCATTTTCAGGCGCTGCCCGGACACCCGGCCGGTGACCGAAGCGCGTGAAGTCGAACCGCTGGTACCGCACTACCGCATGAAGGTGCCGGATACACCTCCGCCGCCGCCACCATCGTTAGTGCGGTCTTCCGCAGCCACGATATCCACGTCTTCCGCAGCCACGATATCCACGTCTTCCGCAGCCACGATATCCACGTCTTCCGCAGCCACGATATCCACGTCCTCCGCACCATCCGGGCCATCCGACGACGACGACAACGGTATACGTCTAGCGGACGACCAACGGTACAACGCCGAAGGGACCACCGCAGCCGACGCCGACGATGAAAACAACCGTGAAGACAGACCCGGATGGTTAACAGGTTGTTTTCTGTTTATCGTTAGTTGTTTCTCGTGCACATAAATGTGTTAGTGTTATTTTTTTTGTTTTCTTTTTTATTTTGCCAGTTCTGTTAACTAGTTAGTAATTTTAATGTTAAGTTAAGAGAACGCCACATCCGCACATTTTGTTGTCTCTGTCTTACATACGTACGACATAGGCAGATTACACCTAGCTCAGTTTTGGTTCTAGAGTAAAAATACCTATATTAAAATGAAAATATGACAATATTTCAAAGATTACATTCAATATAATATTACTTTTTAATGTCCATTTAAATATTTTTACACAACCCGTAACGTGTACCTATCTCGATTTTATAATAGATATTTTTATTCTACTACCAAAATTGAGTTCTACTAAGACTACTTAAACGCGAATTGTCTATGTTGTACGTGTGAAAGACGGAGATGAACGTGCGGATGTAATCTCAAATCTCAGTAGAATTAGCCATTAGATACCTATGTATATTGTACAATCTCGGATGCACTACATTAGAGCCACTTATTGGCTATAGGCAAAACTTTTTTTCTAATTATAATATAACTGTAAATATATAAGCCGAATATCCGTCCAACTTGTACTTGTAAATATTTAATAAAAAATACCTTTTTTTTCTTACATCGGACAGACTGCATTAGAGCCACTTATTCGGCAAACCTTTTACTAACAATGTACATATTATATAAGACGAATACCCGTCGTGTACTATACATATTGTTATAATTGTATAAATAATAACCTTTTTTTTTGTTGTTTAATATACCAAATTCTTATCTTATATCTATATGGTTGTTTTGATTTTTTTTCCCTGTGGATTACCAATCCCACATTACTATTACATTAAATTTTACTTAACGTTACAACAATTATTATAGTTCGTATATTATTTCAAGGTGCTCATATGCGCAGTGTATAGTTACACAGTGTTCAGTCGTACAGGTATGCAGCAGTGCATTAGTATAAACACCAAGTAAGTTTAAAATCGTGTTTTTGGTTTTTTCCCATCAAGTTTATACCTTGATAAGAAGTAGATATAGCCGTATAGGTACTTATAAGAACGAAAAACAATTTACACCGCCATCTGATAATATAAACTCCCATATATTGTGTCACGTAATGTCAACGCATCTACCGAGTACTAACAAGGGTGTTCGAGCATATAGGTATAGGTTTATTTCGTCAAATGGATGTCAACCTTAATATCATATTTTTTGTTATATAATAATATGATATACGTGTACAATATACTCTGTACATATTCCATAATAAATAGGTTGGTATGATGTCGCTACGAACTTTACAGCAGATTGGAATTGATTTGCAGCACTTTTTCAGGACAACCGCAGTAATAAGTATATATTATATAGATTATAGCTATATAGGTGTATAGACAAAAATAATTTTAAATCATTAATAATAATAATATTTAAATCGAGTAAGCTGGTAAACGAGGTAAGTGGACCCGCTGTAGTGGATTTAGGTGTCGATCGATCATCGGATGTAATATTTATGCGTATCTATTGGTTATGCCGTCCTCACTTGGATTGTATTTGATTAGTTAAAATTTTATTTCTCTATAAATGTCAATAAAAAATTATTTATCCAGTCAAAAAACTGAAAAATGTATTACGTTACTTTTTATTATAACTAAAATATCAGCGATACATAGGCATAATAGTTTTTTTTTATAAGTATTTAAAGTTCAAATTTCATTAAAACCACAGTTAATTAATTTGTAGTTCAAAACATATAAAATATTAAATGTGTATAGCTAAGGCTAGACAATTGAATTCAAGGTCTTTCATACAAGTAGTTTATACTTTTATCGAAAAATTACAAATAATTTTAGAAAAGTTGGTATGAAAGTACAATTTTTAAAAATTAATTCATTCTATTAACACGTATATGAAATTTACGTCTTGCTTACTATAGTTGACAGTTGAACTTGATAAAAATTTTATGAAAAAGTAATAATAATACGGGCATGGGTTTTTTTTTATAAGCATTTAAAGTTCAAATTTTGTCAAAACCACAGTTAATATGTAGTTCAAAACTTATTAAATATTAAATTTATATATAAGCTAAGACTAGAAAATTTAACTCTTTGAGGGGCGAAAATTTCCTTTGGAAAAAAAGCCCATGTGTGCAATATGTCTCTTTACCATAACATTCAGTACGTATATCAAAATATTGATAATGATAATAAATGATGAAAAACGCGGGAAATAATATCAGACCAGCGGCAGTGATATTGTTTGATGCATGTATTAGATGATAATAAGGTGGTTGGTATGCTGACCATTATTAAAAAAATATTAAAAATCATTTTAAAAGTGGTTAAAATAGTAACCACCGCACCTGAACGGTAAAAAAAAAAGTGGTTAGCATACTAACCACGGCCCCTCAAAGAGTTAATACATGGTCTTTCATACAAGTAGTTAATACTTTTACCAAAAAATCATAGATCATTTTAATGAAATTGGTATGCAAGTACAATGTTTTTTTCAAAATTAATTCATCTGGTAAGACGTATATGAAGTTTATTACTTGCTTACTATAATTGACAGTTGAAACTTGATAAATATATTTTTTTTTAAGTAATAATTATACGGGCAATTGGGGGGGGGGGGCTTCAGCCTCTTAATATTATTTATAAGATAGCCATTTGGCATTATTTAGATGACACCACGAGGAAGCGGCTATCACTGTTCTCCAAAAATGATTTTTGTTTTAGTTATAATAAATAAATTATTGAAATTCGGAAAATAAAATGTATTTAAAACAATTAGATTGGGTGTATTTAGTCGTTAAAAAAAATATTTGTTAGTTAGATTATGTATAGGGTAAATAACAATAAAAAATAAATTTTTCACACCAATAAAATATGTCCAATGGTGTTTGAAATAGACATTGATTAATTATTCAGTGTCACTTGGATACTATAACGGGCGCAATTTACAATCGCACATTGGATCAAGGCTTATAAGAATTAACCAGCCCATAAATACAATTTCTGGTTATTATTCTTTTTTGAATTTTGAATTTTTAAATAATTAATATTGGAGAATAGTATAGATGCATATAGTTGTAATTAATAATAATAAATTATTGTTTTAGGTTAATTATTATATCTATGTATTAATAAGTAAGCGCTTTTTTTGTCTTACCTACCTGAAATAACTCCAAGTCTCCAACTATATGCAATGTACGGTAGGGATAAATATACATCAATGGAAATGTACTGTGAAATAGAAAAGTAAAACACAAAAGTAAATTTGTACACATAGTAATATAATGGCCCGGTGTTATTTAAATATAATTCTAGGCAATAGATGAAGTAGCTTATATAGGTATGATATGTCAGTGCCTCTTATTATTCAAATTTTTTATTTATTTTTTAAATTTCGGGTTCACCGTGATAACCATTTTTCGTTGATGTTCTGCTGAAATTGTAGTAGTTTGGTGGCAGCGTCGTAGGAATTGTAGCGTCGTTGAAAAGCGCCGCCGCCGCCGCCGCCGCCGCCGCCGCCGCCGTCTCAATTTATCTGGCAACGACTGTACCTAAGGGAGCCCACTTTAAAATCTGGCAAAACAACACACATGTATAAACACACATCTTACATTCCCCTCCCCGCAGTTAAAAAAATTATAATATAAATAATAGAATAATAAAATTATTTTATCGTTTATTATAATATTTTATTTTATTGAATAAACGGATGGTATACCTAGTACCGGCCCAATTGATTTCGGGGCCCGGTGCAGAATTTTGAGGGGCTCGATATTTATTTTATTATTAACTGACTTACAGTCGTTACCAGATAAATTGAGCAGGCGGCGGCGGCGCTTTTCAGTAAGTGTAGCCCAAACTAGTTGCTGGCAGTGTGGTGCATAGGTCACACAGTTGGCTACGACGCGCGCATTCACCAGTTCGAACCCGGCTCAGTGCAAACAATTTTAAATTAATATCGTAAAATATTTTTTGTAACAATTGTTGGTTTATTGATGTATTTTCGGTAATAACTAATAATAATATTGAAATACGGAGAACCACTGGTTTTCCGTTATCGCGCCGCCGCCGCCTGCTCAATTTATCTGGCAACGACTGTACTATATCTTATACTATAAAACGTGAACCCGAGGGCGCAGCTTATGGAGTAAATCCGAACTAGCGTAAGCAACTCACCAATCGGAAAATTAGATTTCTATCCGCGGGCGGTCTCCCGGCGGCGGCGGAGCCGTCGCTGCGTTATCACTCCTCTTATCACTTTTTGCCGTTTTTTTTCGAAAATCAAAGAAATTTCGAAAAAAAACGAGTTTTACCCCCCCGGGGGGCCTCGGGGGGCCCCGTTCGGACCTTATTCGCGTTCCTCGGTAAATTTATAGTCGGTGCGCGGCCCTACTTTTTTCCCGGCGGGCCCCCTGCGGCGGATATCGCGTGCGAACCGAGCGCCGCCGTCGCGCGCGTTTTTTGCATTTTTTTTCGAAACTTCGAGTTTTAGGCGTTTTGGGGCGTATCGACCTTCCCGTTTGCATCTTATTCGCGTTCCCCGCTAAATTTAACGTCGAAACGTGGCCCTACTTTTTCAAAAACGAGTGCCCCGGCGGACGTATCGATCGCCGAGGGCGCCGCGTCGTCGCCGTTTCGACGGTTTTCTCGACTTTTTCGACTAGAGTCGCGTGTAGCAACTCTACGAGACGTCCGACCTCCCCGCCGGCGACGTATTCGAGTTTCACGCTAAATTTATAGCCGGCGAGGGTACCTACTTTTTCAAAAACGAGTCCCGGGGAGGAGCGACGTCGCTTAAACGAGAGTAGGTACCGATGGGGTATCGAGTAGGTACCGCTATATACAGGCATAAATACGTGCGTCTCGAGGTTCGATTTTTTTCGCAAAGCTCGGGTATTATACGTCCGAGGGCGGCGAAGCCGGTCGTCCGCTCGCCGACGCTGTCGGATCGCCCGCTCAAACGCCCTTTGACGGCTTTCCAAACGGCGTTCGCCTTTCGCGAGCACGGGGA